TGGCTGGAGAGAGGGAGGTCTGGGTCTCTGCTGAGGCTGCTGACCCTGAGACCTGACCCCGGATAAGAGGAAGAAAACGGATGGACGGAGGAGGCAGAATTGGTTATTTTTGTTTTTGACATTGTTTTGTTATCACTAATTTTGAAGGGTTCTGTATGTTGTACTCATGAATAAATGTAGCAAAATAAATTATTTCAAAGGTAACATATTTTGTAATACTTGGTTTATTCACACAATGACTTAAATTGCTGGATGTTTGGCCCCTGAACTGTTGGCCTGCAGTAACTGTGGCCCCCAGAGCAGTTTAGTTGAATAGTCCTGCTCTAGAATCAAGTTTTGTAATACCCTGGCCTTTGCCTAAAAAGAAAACATAAGCTTTACAGAGCTGTTGTGTTATTATTACTACTCAGCTACAACATACACACTACTGTACCATCAGCACATTCACCATTTACAGAGAGTACAGATGTCACATCTTCACCAGCTTCTCCAGGTCAACTGAAAATACAAGGTCTCCAACTGTCAAGTCAGAAAGTGTGCCAACGTTCCCAGGGCAGTAGCACAACTTCCTCACAGTCAGTTTAGGTGGACCAGCCACGTCTTTGGAACAGATAATACCAAACTGCCAAAAGCTGTCTTCTACTGAGAGCTCCAGCATTGCAAGAAAAGAGTAGGCCGTCCAAAGCTTAGAGACAAAGATGTCGAGCAGCGTCTGTCTTCATGCAACATTCCCTTCTCCACCTGCAGCTGCATGAAAAGATAGAAACATCTGGCAGCACCCCAGGGTGACCCAATCACCACGGTGGAGCGCCGACTGGAAGAGGAGTCAAGAGCAAGCAGTCAGCATCGAGACAGCAAAACAACCAACCTGATCTTCTCAGGGGTCAATGCAGACACCTGTCCACAGTGTGGCAGGGTCTGTCACCACACTGGACTCTGTTCAACACCCAGGTTCCATCCTACTCATCCCTGAGTGACAGCCAGCAATGTTTTAGACTAATGTTCTGATTAAATCATACAGTATATACAAACTATCCAACGCAGCAGCTCATCTTTTACTAAATACATGAAGCTCTTCACAGTCACTATTAAATATTCTATTGGAGAAACCTTGGATAGGTACGCATGCTCACAACACAAAAGGGGGTGTGGGGAAGTATTTGTACATATAATACATACAGGCATGTGTGTAGATGTGGGTGAAAATGTTTGTTTGTTATTATGTATATATATCTGTGTGGTTATTGGTGGGTGTGGAGGTGTGGATGTTGGGGGGGTATCTTGTGGTCTTACTGAGTATATTTCATACATTTGTAGTTTCAGCTCTTTTCCCTTTTCTTATTTTCTTTCTTATCTTCTCACTTAAAAAAAGTCACTGATGATGAATAAATAAATAAACTAAATATACTAATAATATTTGGTTTCGTTTTCTACTGGAGTGACACAAAAAAGTACATGAATCTATAGCCTTGGTCCAGGTTTCTCTTTGTTTGTTTCCTGATAAGTTTGAATATTTTACTGCCTGTTTTTAAAGTTTTCAAAGACCTGGATCCTTTATGTTTTGGTTCTCTCTGTGGGCTTTTGTGGAAAGATTGGATCCAAACTGCAGGCAGACACAAGGAGTCAAAGTAAAACAGTTTTCATTAAATGAAAAGGCCAACATGGTGGCAACTAAGTAAAACACAAAACAGGCAACACGAGGAGAAATCCAGTGCTAAACCAAACAATGAGCAGATGAGAAAGARGTGAAAGAGGAGTGGTTAAATAAAACCAGGATGAGTGGAAAGTGGAAACAGCTGATTAATGAGTAGGGCCAGATGTGAGGAGAGAGAATGAACAGATGACTGAGTGAAAAGATGAGAATGAAAACAGAACAACCACCAGAGGGAGACAGAGAAAAAAKAGACAGACTATGAGACACTCCTCAACATCTACCCTTCAGTAAGAGCACTCCCTTAAACTGACCAGTTAACATCCGTCCATGTCACAAATAAAACATGTTTTCTTTGTTTAATTTAACCCTAAATTTTCATGTCAAATACTATAGCATCACTGTGTTGTTTTTAGTATATTGGATGATTTAAACATCATTTGTTAACATGGTAACAGGGTTTTTAATTTGCATTAGTTGCAGCAGACAGTTCCAGCTACAATTGAAAGTAGATTTCACTAAAACATTTGTTTTTCAGGAAGTGTGACAGTCAGTGAGAGCAGCAGGAAAATATCTGCAGTCACAACCTGAACAGGCAAAGATGGAGAAAGTTTGTCTTTACATCCTCACAGCTTCAGGCAAGTCTTACATTTATGTTTTATAAATAACTTTATGTTTTATTGCTAC